CAAACTCGTCATAAAGCTCTTGGAGAGCTTCTTGCATTTCTTCAAGAGAATAAGAACCGGTAGAAGAATTACATACCTCTTGGTTTTCGTCGTTGGCGGACTCCTCTTCTTCTTGAGCTATGAGACAAAGGTTTGCTTCCTCGTCTTCCTCTTGCTCGCTTGACTCATCGCCGGAGTCGCCACCCCAAGAGATGTATGCTCTTTGCTTTTTGAAGTGACGAGCATTCCTTCCGTTTCTTGGGCATTTGTTCTTGATGTGCCCGGCTTCACCACATCCATAGCACACAGGGCCATCCTCAGCCTTCTCTTTCTTTAGAAGTTTGCAAAACTTCTTCATGATGAGCTTGACTTCATCTTCGTCGCTTGAGTCATTCATTGTCGGTTCTTTGGAGGCTTTTAATGCTATGCCTTTTCTCTGGTCATTCAAAGACGGATTAAGTGTAGTAGATTCATATGTTTTTAAGTTACCTCTTAAACTGTCGATGGTGACATTTGATGTGCCGATTGACTCATAGATGGCATCGGCCTTAGATCGCCATTCGGATGTCAAGCTTCGTAGGATCTTTCGCACAAGATCCCTGTCGGTGTAAGTCTTCTTTAATGCATGAAGATCGTTGACTATCTTAGAAAAGCGGTCGAACATGTCGTCGATCTTTTCGTGCTCCTTCATCCGAAACATCTCATACTCTTGGGTGAGGAAGTCGACCTTGGCTTCACGTACTTGGCCCGTTCCTTCGTACGTCACCTCTAACTTATCCCACATCTCCTTGGCGGTTGAGCAGCAGGAAATCTTGCGGTAGTCATCAGGATTTACGGCACAATAAAGCATGTTTATTGCCTTTGCATAGTTCTCGACCTTTTTGATGTCCTCGGCATCAAACTCGTCTTCGGTCTTGGGGATCAACTTGTCTCCAACTTTCTTCATTGGCACCTCTTCCCCATTTTTGATAACCAACCATAATTGGAAGTTCGTGGAACGAATATAGATTCTCATTCGTTCTTTCCAATATGTATAGTTGGTTCCATAAAAAAGAGGTGGCCGTGTGGTTGATTGTCCTTCACCTATTCCTGCGTACAAATTTCTAGAAGAAGAACCCATGATCGCTTTACTCTCAAACGGTTAAGTTTGGACGCGAGTTAGGCTCTGATACCAATTGTTAGAATAAGTGTCCTTCACTAGAGGGGGGGGGGGTGAATAGTGAGGCACGAGAATGTTTATAAATTTTCGCGGAATAAAAATCGCAGGGATAAAGTAAAGAGCGGAATAAAAAGGAGTAAAGGGAGCACACCAAGATTTATACTGGTTCACCACAACGTGTGGCTAGTCCAGTCTCCCGAGAGACTCTCTCGAGCTACACTACTTCCGTTAAGCTTACGGGTGCTTAACAAACCGTTACAACCTGAGAACTCGAGTCCCACGAGCCTCAACAAC